TCTGTGGTAATCAACAACATGCCACAGATGCTGTAGCTAAACAGAACATTCATTTTATTGACTGAAATCAAGCCTTTTTTAAATCAGCACTGACATTAATCATTACTGTCTGGCTCAATTAACTGGTAAAAATGTAGCAATTCCTTGTCAAATTGAGGTTACTTGACTAGTTGAAATGATTATTGATTGCTGGACTGTTGAAACAGCATGTCTCAGGGACAGAAATCCTGTTTTCTCGTAGTGCAGTATAACACACACATAAACCTTACAGAATCTCACACACAAAGAAAATTCTGGAAGCATTATCTCACACATGATAGAACCTTATGACAGGTTTGAGAAGTTCTACTGTAATAACTAGAGATCAACTGCTAATTATTTTATAGATATATATTTCTGACATTTAAGCAGTTTTATCTAATCAGATATCAGTTTTGTAATATTGGATTCACCAATAAATGGCAGCATTTTGTGGCCACTTGAAGAATTGTGTGCATGTCATTTGCTGTCAGATAGGCTGCAGACACACTATTCACTATACAAGACTAAAAATAGCGTTTTCAGCAAGTGTTTCATCACCTATATTCTATACTATGACAAAAACAAGAATAATTCTGATAACAATGAAATAGACTCCAATGTAATTTATTTGCTGTTTTGCTTGTTACTTTTCTGACAATGTGCAATAATTATTTGAGTTGATAGACTACTTTTTCATTTGAAAATATTAAACAGTCAATTTATTTTTCTGTATATTCACTGCTACTTTCAAATATTGCAATTATGCATTCTGTTTGCTACCTCAATTTGAATTCAGGAATTAAACTGATTTTCACAATTCAATTCTGAATGCACAACCAAATGGCGCTTTTTATATATAATGTGGTTATAAACACACAACTCCACAAACCTGATTCTAGATACACTCAAATGCACAAGAGTACAAGCGTGCACTACCTGATAAAAAACTGCCACAGTGAGACAAACTGAGAGAACGATATCAAAGGATCAACAGTGACTGACATATAGAGGTACAAAGACAGACAGCAAAAAGACACAGGTCTTCAGACAGTCTGCAATCAAAACACTCAATTCAAGGCAATATGTAATATGCTACACCTTTCACATTTAATTCAATGTGATATTTTCTGTTACTTGATCGATATAGGTTTTTCAATGGCTACTGCTACAGCAAATGACATTTACACAAACTTGCTGAAATCAAAAGAAAGAGCAGTTTTACTCGTACCATTGACTTAAAAATTTAACTAAACTAAAACTTTAACTAAAACTAAAATATTAAAAATATTAATAAATACTGTATTAAATATATCAATGTTACTGTGTGTATGTATAATTATCATCTAGGGCTGGACAATAATTCAATATCAATATGTATCGCGATATAATTGTTTTCAATAACGGTGATATGATTTTTAAACACATTTCCGATATTTCGATATACATTACCAGTGTTTCCCATACATTGACTTATTTGTGCCGTTTGACTTCGTTGAATAAACATGAGCACTGCACGTTTCAAAATCAAAAAATGTCGCGGGTGTTTTATATAAATGTATCTGTGAAGGGAACCGACTGTCTTCAGAAAAGTTTCAATGACATTTTCATTTTATCTGATAAAGTAGCATTCATGAGCAGAGCTGCTTTGATTACAGCCATTACTGGAGAAACCGCTAGTTCTATCACTCTAAAAGCGCCTCCTGCTAGCAGAGCATGAGTTTTCATTTTAAATAAGCCCGTCTCCAGCAACATTTCCAGTTTTTGTTATTGTTCAATTTTTTTGTATTCTGCAGCGACTCGGAGCACTTTTCATACCCTTTTTTTTTTGGCTGAAGCACATTTGTTTCAATCTATAAGCGTGATATCAATTTTGGCCATATCGTCCAGCCCTACTATCATCTCATATTATTGCATTAGATATATACATGAATGCAACAACATAATGTAAAATAGAGCTGACCACACATAAGCATGCAAAAGGTATCCCAGTCAAAGTGTGCGTATGGGAAAGTTTGAGGTGAGGCTGGAGAATGTCCTTTCCAGGCTTTTTTTTCCATTTCAGATGGATTAGTTTATCCTGTGATGGACAGATGGTCATATAAACAACACACACTCTGAGAGATCAGCAGAAGGACACTGTCACTAAAGGACAGTTTCACATGAAAGGTCTGTGAGTGACATTACAGTGGTCTGACTAGTGTCTTCATCCACTCGTAAAATGGCATGTATACTATCCATCCATACATTCACAAACCCTCAAAAATATATCTGAGGTTACTTCACAGGGCTGTGAATTACAATAATGACTTGTGGAAAGAGACACAACATAACAGCAAACGATGACTCCTCATGTATACTTGAAAAAAAAAGTAATTACACTTGACCAGAACTCTGACGATAACTGACAGACCTCAAGTGTTACTGCAACAACATGCGTTTAACAAGCAACGAAATCATAAGGATAATTATCATTGGGCATTTAGGTTATTGTTCTGCTCACAATGATACTGACACAAATTTACATTCATAATAATAATATTAGTAGCCTAAATGAGAGGAAATGCATTTGGTTTGCAAAATTCTACCATCCACTATGACCCCTGAAGGGCCAAATATTTTCTTTTAAAATGAGGCCTAAAGTAAGGCATTGTATGATGTCCCCTGGCATACTGTGCCCACAGTAAAGACCATCAACAAGAGAATCTTTCTGAAATATCTGTATAAAGCTATTTTTGACTCCCTCGGGACAACCAAGTATGCGCCGGGATGGAGTAAATAAATTATAACTGGAGAGCAGCTCGTTCATTTTTCCTTCTAAACCAGAGAGACATACATAACATGATTCTAAATCCATTAATGTCAAGCATGAAGCCATGAAATCTCCATGCAGAAAAGTCAGATAATTTTTACATTGCACTTTTCATAAAAAAACATATCTTCATGGCCTATAACCTTGAGCCTATAACGCACAATGATATGCACTGGCATGGTGAAGTAGTTACATTTTTTACTTTTTCCTCACAGGATGTTATTAAAGGGGTCATATGACGTTGCTAAAAAGAACATTATTTTGTGTATTTGGTGTAATGAAATGTGTTTATGCGGTTTAAAGTTAAAAAAACATTATTTTCCACATACTGTACATTATTGTTTCTCCTCTATGTCCCGCGCTTGTAACACTCCAAAGAGAAAGGAAAAATTTAAATCGCATCATATGACCCCTTTAAGCAATTTGGAAAAACTTTGAATATTGCACACAAATCCTTTTATAAAGCTTGAAAGCATCCCCACTCTTTGTAACTGCAAAAAAAGGATACAATTCTTTTTAGTACAATGCTTCAGAATTTCTCCTTTTGTGTTCCACAGTGAAATAAAAATTAATTTGGCTTTGGAACGACATGAGAGCACATAAATGACAGCAATTTCATTTTTTGGTGAACTTTTCCTTAAATCTCTGACTGAAAAGCACTTCTCTGACAGATTACATGGCATTTTGAAATGAAACAGACATCTGTGGAGATTGTCAAAGATAAGGGAAATACAAGGTCAGATTCTTCAGTTAAGCTCTTTTATAAGCTCCACACCTTCCCAGAAGGCACTCTGAGTGACACTGCCCATAATGTTTCAGGGACTATTTTTAGATATACAGCATTAGAGTAACCAAATTTTGATGAAAGTGCTGCTGATAACTACACATAGAAGATATAGACTCTGTCTGCACCTACTTTCACACTTTGTCTGAACCCCAGAAGTTATGATTGCAGAAGATAACATGCCACTTACACATGAATGAATATAATCAGCATGGCTGATTCTTCAGAGAGAGAGCACAAGGCCAGTTCAAACACTGTAAACACACCACATCATTATCCCTTAGCTCAATGTATTTGAACTCAAGGAGGAAACCATTTTCAAGCACAAATGTAATTATACCTCTGAATTCAACTACTTAACCACTAAATGTGCAATTAAACCTTTAGTTTCAGCCGCTGAGAATAAGAATACTCAGAGGTGCTCATTCATAGCTCAGGAGATTTTATTGAGTTCTCAATTATATTTCATTTAAATATCAACTTTGTTTCAGATCTTTCTTCTAAAATTCCATGGGAGAAATAAAATAGACACAAATGGGACAACTGTGGACAAACGGTAAGAGTATAGCGCAATAAAGCGAAGGTGTGGAAAACTGGACAGACAATCCTGTGCTGAGACAGTTTGATAAGAAAAAGTTATTTATTCCAGATATTGCCTGTTTGAAAAAATCTGAGTAGTTTATAACATTACTGAGATCTCTTCTGCAAACTGGAGATATGAGATTACTCTGGTTGGTTTTGCAGGAGTCTTCATTTGTTCTCCATATGATCTCCTTTGTGTCTCAGAGAAACAAATGAGATATTAAAGAGATCTTTTCATTAATATGGGTCAGTCAAAGGAGTTTTCCCACACACATTTCTGAATGCACACCAGAAGAAAACTTCAAGTTAGACCTGATGAGAATCATGAAAGAAATATCTCAATATACATACAATCAGTTATATTGTGTTTGATGGTTTGCTAGATACAAATGTGTCATTTTTGTTAGTTATGACATGCTGAAAAGATCTGCATGTTGTCTTCTGACTTAACTACAAAGCAACTGTTGTAACCTTTCAAGAACCAGTATCTGGCTATAATGGCATTATGTAATAAGCAATATTTGTAATGCATGTGTACTAAATTAAAATTTGTACATATCTATGTAGGCTACAAGATACCCTACTGAAGATGCATTAAGTTGCAGACTAGAAAAGAAACCTAAACCCTTTATTTCGGGCTTTTAAGCACTTAATAACAGTAAAGCAAACATTTTAACCAAGAAGGATTGCTCTTCCAACGCCCCACTCTTGCAATCCGCCTTAAGGTGCTGCTAGCGCCACATATTGCCTATACGATGTTTGCAAACAATGAACCTGTTACACGGAGAGGAAAGCGTTACTTACTTGACTCTCCCTTGGCAGTGTTGACATTGATCCCCAGCCCATCCCCGTTCACAGACGCAAGTTCCATTGATACATCTTCCAAAGATGCAGTTTTTATCACAGGTTTTAGAATAGGATCCTTCAGTGCACACTAACAGGTAAAACACCATAAACATGAACAGGTACGTCCTGAGCTCCTGAGTCCTACACAGGAAGCACCTCGTGGAGAAGCGTGGAGTCATTCTTCTTCTGCCAAAATCCATCCTCCTGTTCTCCTCTGATCTAAGCATTGAGATGAGGTTACAATCTTCATTAGACTTTAGCTTTTAAACTGTGAATTCTCCACTCCTCGTAGTTTTGTTACAATTTGTAGTTTGTTGTCATTGTCACAATGCATTCATTTATTATATCCAATATGTAAGGTAACTTTCTCCAGTAAGCATCTACTTTAGCGCGTTATTCCAAAAAAAGCCTTGTCGCCAAAACAGTGTCATTCCAGAAATAGCGACATTTGAGATACAGATGTGCAGTTGTTAAACTGTGCCTCCATAGTCGCAAAAATAACAGCATCATTTTCAGCTAAAACAATAATCCGTGCTGCTGTTGCCGTTTCGCCTTTGTTTCTCTCAGAGATGCACTCGGAGGAGAATGACAGCGCAACTCCCATCCAAAACAATGTGCAGTTCCCCGCTGCTGCTCCTGCTCCCGCTGAGCTCAGAGCCAACGACGAATCTCACTACGGAAAAGGTTTGGCTTATGAATATTAAGTACATTACGCTAACGTTGCTTGGTAACCTTCCTCAAGCGTTCAGTCGGTCACGTGATCAATTAATATTCAAGAGCCGATCCTTTATCATAGTAGAATAGGAAACTAGTCGTCTTACATTTAAAGCGATAGCGCACCATTAATTTGTGCAGAACATCGCGTCAAGCGGGTCATCATGAAAGTTGTGGTTTCGTGCAATACAGATATTTTGGGGGGGAGGTACGGAAACTTTAAGAGACCATGCAGTTTTTGGCTTGTTTTGTTAAGGTCACAACTTAAAGGGATATTCCACAAAAAAAGAAAGAAAATTCTGTCATAATTTACTCATACCATGTTGTTCCAAACCTGTATGCATTATTCATTCTACGGAATACAAAAATATTTTGTCATTATTTTCTCATGATCTCAACATAAACGTTTTTTTCTCTCTCTCTTTCTCTCTCTCTCTCTCTCTCTCTCTCTCTTTTCCCTTCTTATTGATCTAGTGTAGTGTAGCAGTGATATTTATTATTATTTGTGCAGGCATTAATTGATATTTTGAATTTCAAAACGCTTTCATTGTAACATTTTAGCTTTAATATTATATATAATATTTAATATTGTAATTTTTATATAGTTTTATATGGTTTTTTATATTTATATTTATTAATTTCTTTTTTTTATTACATTTAGGTATAGTAATTTTAGTTCCTTATTTCATTTAGCTGCCAAGGCAACATGTCTAATTAGTAAGTGTTTTTTTTAAGTAAGTCGTTTTTTTTTGTTTGTTTTTTTGTTTTTTTCCATCAAATATTTATATTGTATTTTATTTCATTTTTATTTCAATTAACAGAAACAATTTAATAGTTTTCGTTTATGACATTTAATAAGTAAAAGGCTAGCAAGTGCGTTACTACTACTACTACTACTGCCAATAAACCATTAGTCTAACTGGAATGTTTATGTCTCAAACAAACATCAACATCTCCTGAGAAACATGAGTCATATTTCTGGATCAGCCTCCAGAATATTTATTTTAGATTGTGTAACTGTTTATCTGCAAAATGATCTATTGTTCACTTATCTGAGTTAAATACCTCTTAAATTACCTCAAAACATAGGCCTAGAAGCATGAGCGATACTGTATTTTGAGGATGATGATGTTCGGTGTCACCTGTATGAAACAATTATGTGAATTAGAAGTTTTCATGTAAACAGCATATTAATAATGTCATATTTGGAATAACTGGAATAATTTGGCGTATCCAAATTAAGATGCAGAGAATTCTGGAGTATTGAAGATATAGTCCAATGCACTCAAGTGTTTGGACTTCCTGTATGCACTGCAGGGAGGTAATATCATCTCTGTATAATATAATCTCATCTCATATAATATAATCTCATCTCTTCTGGACAAATTCTATACATCTGTTCACAAAATAAAGTTGGCTTTCATATGAATAAATAATGAAATTATTTAAAAGTTTATTGCTGAAGTTCTTCTTTTTGCAGCAAACAAACAGTGTTATAAAATATTATTTCCATTCCTTTACTTTGTTGACGCTGAAGTGAGTTTCACTGTGCTTTCGCAGGGAATCATTTGCAGTGATCATAGGACAACAGAAAATGACTCTATGCCAGGTACAGACAAATAAAGATGTATTATCATCCGAGTAAGACGTCAACAACATTCTCAGAAGGTCATACTCTCCACTGCACACTCACAGTGGGAGAGAAATAAATTTATCTCACTCAGGAGAACTGCTCTTTCTCTCTCAGGAAAATTAGATTGGCTCTGTTGATAGAAACCAAGGAAAACAGAGAGATGTGGCATCCTTTGTGTTTATAAGGAAAAAACTTTGATATTAGCCATATTTGTACCATTTTATGTAACCTGGCTGTCCCACTGGAAAGGGACATAATTGAGGTTGATTTCAGGGCATGGGAAGCAAAACCAGACTTTATAGGCTGCTACAACAAGCACTGCCGTTTGAAGATTTGCCAGTTGAAAATTAAGCTAATTTCATGTCAGTTTAGATGTTAAAGTAAGTCATGAGCACATGCAAAACATACTGAAGAATGACAGCAAACCCAAGCCTCAGTGCTCCCGTAAACGGCAATGTAATATATAATAGCTAATAAAAAGAAACTGAAATGGCTTGTCAGTCTCACAAGTATTAAATGTGCTTAATTTAAAATACAAGGCCCATGAGACAGTTTTGGTTTATTTTGCCGTGTTTTAGATGTTCCCTCTTGGATAACTTTAAGTAGGTCACAGTGAATACATCAGCCAAAGCACCTGCAATGGAAGTGGTTGTGGAACACTGACTAGGAGGATAAACATGTGATATCACATTCTGTAAACGATTTATAACAGAAACAGATTATGCAATAGAGCCTACCATCTGTCCTGACTGCAGAAAACACTCTCTCTTCTCTGTCGTGTGAGCTAGTGAGGGGCAGAATCCTCTGTCTGCCTGTGTAATGGGGGCTCAAACATCTGACCTGCTCTTTAGTCAAGAATGTTCCTAAGCTTCTTTTTTTGTTTGAATCTTTCTACTTTTTCCACTCACATTCAGTGTCTCTCTGTTCATGAAATCACTATAAAATCATCCTTTCTAGCTTTACAGATGTACTTTATCTTTTTTATTTTGTTATTAAACCTACATTTAGAAAACAGTAACCCAGATTAAACACACATGCATCACCATCACTGTCAATAGATCTAAACAATCATCTATTGCACAATAACAGAAACCATGATCCAGAGAGAGGGGGTTAGGTTGCACTGTTTCATCATAGTCTTTATCATGTTACTGATGCAGAAATTATGTGCAGCTGGAGATGAAAACAACACTGAAGAAATGGCAGTGTGTATGTTTATGTGTCTAGTGTTACAATACATTACACTAGGCTGTCTATGAAGTATTTCACCAGGAGATAATAAAGATGTGTAGGTGCTATATAATTTATTTATTTAGAATTGCATGTGTTAAGTACCCTATAAATATATGTTAGAGTGATGTGTGTATTCTAATGGCTACCATAAAAAAATGAATTTCAAATTTTAGCTGTAATGTTACATCCTCTTTGTAAGTTATGATTATGGAATTTATATATAATAAGCTGTAGTTCAGTGGTGACTGTTTTTGTAGCGCTTTCATATGAATCAATGATATTATATTAAGAGATGTTCTTACGCCCTCGTGTGGTGAGATACTGAAGGTGCTGTAGGGACACTATACTTTTAACATGCATGAGACTAGTAGAATGAAAGTAGAGACCGACGACAGAGAATATATTGGACATTTGAGAATATGGAAATATATTTAGATAAGAATATATTTGGTACATTGATTGATTTGTTTAATTCAGATTGTCCAGATGTAAAAGAAAGCAATGAGGAGTTTTGTGTTACTCTTAAAGGGATAGTTCAATGAAACTTCTGTCATTAATTATTCACCCTCATGCGGTTCCAAACCCCTAAGACATTCGTTCGTCTTAAGAAAAACAAATTAAGATGTTTTTAACGAAATCCAAGAGCTTTCTGACCCTGCATAGACAGCGACGCAACTACCACATTCAAGGCCCAGAAATCATGACATTGTTAAAATAGTCCATGTGACATCAGTGGTTTAATCGTAATGTTATGAAGCTACAATAATAGTTTCTGTGTGCAAAGAAAACAAAAATAAGGACTTTTTAAACAATGTCCTTACTACCTTTCTGGGCCTTGAACATGTCAGTTACATTGCTGTCTATGCAGGGTCAAAAAGCTCTCCGAATTCATCCAAAATATCTTAATTTGTGTTCCGAAGATGAACGAAGGTCTTACAGGTTCGGAACGACATGAGGGTGAGTAATTAATGACAGAATTTTCTTTTTTCTGCTTGCTTTTGTTAGTCAGAAGCAAACGGGGCCAAAGTCTTGCAATAGTTAGCATGGCTAATTACCCCTGCTGGTTGGTGTTGTTATTAGACCATCTGTTTTCATTGATGGCTACTCAAAATAATTGACAAAATACTTGTATTTATTTATTTATTTATTGCAAACAACATATCTTTCACAAATGTTTCATCATAAAAAATTGATATAGTTTTTGTCAACTTTAAAAGACATGCAAACATTTTTTGCCTTTTACCTTTGAAATCCTCTTCTGAAAGCATGACTTCTCACAATCCACACTTCGGACAAAGTCTGCAATGAAACAAACAGTATCCCACTTTGTCAATATGATCTGTGACCTGCCAGCACACCCAATAATCCAGAAACATTCTCTGCAAGACTTTTTGCTGATATGATCACTGCTTATTTAATTATTTAGCATCTCTTAATAATGCGACAGTCACATTTGAATGTATTTTGAAAGTATAGAAGGTACGAGTCATGTAATGACCAAAAAAATTGTAGCAGACTGTACTTGCTGCACCTAAGTATAGATAAACTAAAGAAATCCATAAATAAGTGGTTTGACTTTTGTCCATTACACAGACCCACAGACCCACAGAAACCTGTATGCCTGTTAACCATTCACACACACTTGTATAGACATAAACCCACAAACACCCACACACTCAAAGGACACTGACCTTATATGCGAAGTAAGATTTAGAGCAGATCTGCAGTGTGTCACTTCTTCAGAGACCAACGGCCAGCATGAATCTCAAGCTGTGTCTGCTGCTCCTCTTTCTCTGTGCTGTCATTATTCCTGCACAGGTGTGTATGAACAGTTATATGCTGATATACCACATGCTATTCTTAAAATACATTGTTGTACATAACAGATTTTTAATCTGGATGAAAATTAAGTGATGCTATATATGACCCTGGACCACAAAACCAATCTTAAGTCGCACGGGTATTTGTAGCAATAACAATACATTGTATTGGTCAAAATGATCGATTTTTCTGTCAAAAACCATTAGGATATTAAGTAAAGATCATGTTCCATGAAGATATTTTGTAAATTTCCTACCATAAATATATCAAAACTTAATTTTTGATTAGTAATGTGCATTGCTAATGACTTAATTTGGACAACTTTAAAGGCGATTTTCTCAATATTTTGATTTTTTTTGCACCCTCAGATTCCAGATGTTCAAATAGTTGTATCTTGGCCAAATATTGTCCTAACAAACCATACATCAATGGAAAGCTTGTTTATTCAGCTTTCAGATGACGTATAATAATATACGTCAAAAAATTGACCCTTATGACTGGTTTTGTGGTCCAGGGTCACATATTATGTTTTGTTTTGTAATTGGTCAAATCATGGTCGAGGTCAAATTACAGTATGAAATATTTATTCATACTGTCTAATGTTTGAATATCAGATTTCAATCACATTTAGCTGATCTTGATAAAATAATGAATTTTCTGAGCAGTTTCTTACCTCTCAACAGTTGAAGAAAGAGAAACATGATAAACATGAGGAACATGGTAAACATGGGCACCATGATAAACCAGGACCACAAGATAAACATGGGAGGCCTGGTGGTAAACATCATGGAAAGAGAGGCAAAGAAAGACTGGAGAGTAAGTGGTCACCTTTTGGGTTGAAATATAATACATATCCATATTTATATGTCTTTGCGTCCAGTGTCCAATTTACAACTTATGATATCAGGACTGAAGGCTGAGTTTGAAAGCTCAGATGACTCTGATGATGACGACGATGCAAACGATTGGCTGTTTGAGCTTCAAGGTCTAGGTATGATTCATTAATCAGATTTCTTCCTCATATTGTGTATACTACCGTATACATTTGGGGTTAGCATGTTTTTTTTCTTCTTTTTTTAAGAAGAAGGACACATTCAATTAATCAAAAGTAACGGTAAAGACATTTCTAATGATACAAAAGATCTTTGATTTCAAATTAATGCTGTTCTATTCATCAAAGGATCCTGGAGAAAAGAATAGCATGGTTTCCACAAAAATATTAAGCAGCACTGATGTTTTCAGCATTGATAATAATAATAATAATAATAATAATAATAATAATAATAATAATAATAATAATAATAATAATAATAAATGTTTCTTGAGCACCAAATCAGCATATTAGAATTATTTCTGAAGGATCCAGTGGCACTGAATAGCTACTGAAAATTCAACTTTGCCATTAACAGAATAAATTACGTTTTAAAATATCTTCAAACAATAAAAAAAATCACAATATTACTGTTTTTATTGTATTGTCAAAACATTACAAACATTCTACCGAATTAAAAACAGCTAAAATAAAGGCAAATAAACATTTCCCCCTTTGGTTATTCAGGAAAATGCAGTCCAAATCCATGCCTGAACGGTGGGGAGTGTGAAGAAAAGAGAGATAAATTCAAATGCAAATGCCCAAAGCAGTTTGTAGGTAGAAGATGCGAGAGAGGTATGAGTTCACTTCACACCACCTGCTCATTTATATAGACCACTGACGTTTTGAGAAACATTTGATGCTTGTTTTAGGGAAAAGGGTTTGTAAGAGGGGAACCTGTGGGGCAGGACTGTGTCTTCTGACCCCATCTCCTCCCTACTATAAGTGCAAGTGTATTCCACCATTTGCACCACCAAACTGCAGATCAAGTAAGACATACAGCACTGAACTCATGCTGCACCAAGCCACTGTTTCTTAACAAACAAACTGATTTGGTTTTGGTTCTAGAATGCTCAGACCAAAGAGTAAAACTGGTCTACAACTAAATCAGATTTCTATTCAATGGAGATATGTGGGTTGTATATGCTCTGTTTATGATTTGTGTCTTTTTGTTTAGCTGCTCCATGTAATCCAAGCCCTTGTCAGAATAACGGCAGATGTGTTGTAGACGAGGGTGATTTTGATTGCATCTGTCCCGATGGTTACAGTGGACAATACTGTCAAGTAGGTGAGTGTATAATTACAGAGACACTGCATTTCTCTCCTTGGATTAATTTCTGTGTATAAAAGATTCTGAATTTAAAACATATTTTAGAAATGTAAAGCATGTTTGTGAAAAAGATATTTTTTAATATTCTTTTGGCACTTTATACATAAATAACAACTATAAAATGTCAAATGTTGTCTGTTACTGAGAAAAATGTGTTCTATTTTTTATTACTTTGCTTTTTCATATTTCTTAATACCTTTTCTTTTTTTTAGTTCACATTACAGACAAATAAAAATATTTAAGAAACAAATTGCATGTTTAAAAAGTGTACATTATAACCTTTATTATATACTTATAACAAAAAATTGCTATAAAATTGATTAATGACTTTAAAAATGTCAAACACTGTCATTTTTAGAGTCATTTGAATGAATAAATCAAGAATCATATTCAATTTTTTAGCTATTACTCACATGCTGCACTTTTTCCGCAGCAACAACTACCATAAAAATTGTCGAGTTAATATAATTTTTTTGTAATTAAATTTGAATTTACACAATTATTATTGTCATATATATATATATTTTTTTTTTTTACATTATCATACAATTTTTTTTTACTCATGAATGCCATGTGGTTTTCTGTGGGCCATACCAGTTGATGTATGAATCTGAACTTTTTATTTGACACATTGTCATGAGGGTCTCAAAGGTTCTTTTCTGTGATATTTTTTGTTTTATGGTTTTCTCACAACATGACAACATGACCACACAATCATACTGTGCTGTGACTGTATCCTCAGGCCCTGATGACTGCTATGAGGGGGATGGACAGTCATACAGAGGGAAGGTGTCTGAGACAGAAGATGGGGATGAGTGTCTCGACTGGAACTCTGAGTTCGTTCTGGATAAAGGAGCTTTTCCTTCAGTGGCATTTGCATCTAGTGAAGGCTTGGGACCGCATAACTTCTGCAGGTTACAAACATGTGGGGACTAAAAGCCTAGGACTCACATTAATTATTGACCTAGAAGTAGTGCATTCATTGTATGTGAAAACATTTAGCATTTTTTGAATCCTAAAACTTTCATTTAAATTTATTTTAATGCCAGATTTTCAATCTGGTCTCAGACTTTTGGACTACACTGAATATGCACAAAAACACACGTACACAGCTGGGCTTGAGCAGCAGTGGACTTGTAATCATGGTAACCCTCAACTCAACTGCAAATCCTTCATTACAGAAACCCTGATGGAGATAAGAAGCCATGGTGCTTTATAAAGAAGGACAGGAGACTTCGATGGGATTATTGTGATGTCAGAAAATGTCCCACACCTGGTACGATAACGACACAGTGTGGTTTATAATCTAATACTTTTCCACAATGAACTGTTAACTCAACAACACAAACACAGCAGCCTTTAGCCCTTTAGATTCTGTGGCCTTTAGAGTCATTTGAATTAATGAATCAAGAATCATATCTTTGAACCCTCTCTGACCCAGTAGATGTATTAAATTACATGATCTAACATTTCTAAACCGGCATCGAATTCCATTTTTAGCTTTTACCCACATGCTGGACTTTTTCCACAGCAACAACTACCATAAAAATGGTGTCCACCACTGCTGAAGCTCGACCCACCACAGCTGCATTCACAGACAGTATTCCACCAAAAGTAACTACTCTCCAACCAACCGTACCAGCTAAGACAGGTAAGACTTCTTCATCATTACCCAGATGCCATGTCTGGTAAAACTGAGGACAATGCAGTAGCACGGTTTATAATCCAGTTGCGTTCCATTGAAAGTTTAAACCAAAAGCTGTAACTTTATCAATAGTCACTTTAATGATTTTAATTATCATTCTAAATTTAATAGTTAGTTCTTTTGAATTTCATTTGCTAAGAGATGCTCAGCACTAGAACTTTTTTTTACCGTTTGTATGACTCTGATTGTCTATGTAAGTTACAGTAGGTGGTGACAAGTGACTGTCTTTATGAGTGAATCATTGAATCATTTATTCAACCGATGCGTTCAAAACACTGATATAAGGTGCAGTTGCTTCAAAGACATTTCGGTGAAATGTGGCCTCCATTCAATGCCACTGCTGTGTTTTGCCTGGAGACTTGTAATTGTGGATTCTGCTGTGGTTTTGGTTAGAACTATTTTGGTGGTGAAGCAAAAAAAAACACAGAGTAAAGGCTGGAACACACTACACAACTTTTAAAATCGGAACAAATTTTAAAACACTTGGAATTATACACTCGATGACTTTGTAATTAGTTACAGAGAAAACTGGACATTATAATGACATTGAAATGAGAAATTGAAAAGTGAAAACGATAAACTCAGCTCAAAAAATTAGGCATGTTTGATATCTTCTGACTGGACAGATTCATAGACTAAAGCAAAAAAAAAAAAAAAAAACACTATACATTTTTGTTTTGTTTTTTGTGAAATCGACTCTGACTACCCAAAATCTGCAGACTGTCTCTGACTTTTAGCAACTTGACACAAATCAGGGCAAAAGTCATGTAGTGTATTCCAGTCTTAATTGTCAATATTATGTCTAAAATTTAAGTTACTTAATATTAAACTTGTTTATTGACCAGCTGTTTATAGTAATGTCAAACTCTAATCTATACACATCCTCATACTTTGGACCTCATACTTACACTGTTTCCACAAATGTCACCTACCAGATGGCAGCATAACCCCAGAGAGCACCAGTTCAGCCCAAATAACCACTACTCCTGTCCCACCAACCACATTACCAAAGAACTATACTTTAACAAGGGATTTTCTTACCTGTGGTAAACCTGAGCCGAAAAAACAAGTAAACCGGATTTACGGGGGTCTTAAAGCTATTCCTGGAGCCCATCCATGGCAAGTATCAGTACAGGTTAAGCCTAAAGGATCCATCCAAGAGTACAGACACATCTGTGGAGGCACCCTTATCAAGCCTTGTTGGGTGCTGACTGCTGCCCACTGTATGTAAGTATGGCCTTTAGTAGGCTACAGTATTAAAGTACATAATCCACCCAATGAGCACAGAAAAATTCAAAAACTCAATCCATGATCACTGTTAACCGCTTCAGTTTATATTTCACTGCATTTAACTAAATGAACTTTTAATATTAAATCTGACTTCTTATCTGCATTATCTCAATATTCTCAAATGTTTCTTTGTGGTTAATAAACTGGAAAATGTTCTCCTAACAATATATTTAGTTTCACATTAAAACTAAAATGAACCATATTGGTTTTATTATCTTTTGTTGTGTGTACAGTGATAAAAAGCATGATTACAGAGTTATATTGGGAGGACTAAATTTGATACAAAAGGAGCAAACAGATCAGACTGTGCTGGTTGAGGACACTATCATCCATGAGAAGTTCAAGGAGACCCCTGATGTTGTCTACAATGATATTGGTGAGTATGTAGACATTCATTCGCACAAACAGGATTTTAATAATGATCAGTGTTATAGATTTTACATTTTATTTTTGTTTGGATTTTCTAGTGCTTTCTGTTCTTCAACTCATCAGGCTTTTATTTTGAAGGTCGTGTTTCCTTTTCTTTGCTGTGGCCAAACTTGTCCCCATCAGCTTATAGTATTGTGCACTATTTTGAGTGTCAGCCATTTTTAGTTGAAATTATGTAGTGTACTCATTCAAACCCATAATGCACTGCAATAAGTAGTGTACAACTGGGTATTAGAGAATAGGCTACCCATAATGTATGGTTGGTGTCTCATACAAAGAAAACAATTGATCTAAAAGCTCTGCTGTAGGATTCTTTATTTAGGCAGAATTTCCAGAAACACACAAGACAGGAGAAACCCCTGCATAAAATCAGAAAAAGATCAAAAAGCACAGACAAGGACAAGGGAATGAGAATTTAAAAATAAAGGCCTGATAAGAATAAGAACTTCAGAAGAAAAGCCCCCAAAAATGTTAATTTGTTCACATTATTTTTTAGATCCCATGCAATTAATCTGGCTATTTAGTCATAAAAATCACGAGAAGCTCAACAAACTACTTTAAGTCTATACTTTTTATTTTCTTGTATTTTCTTTTTTTATTCTTTCTTGTGGTGTAGCTCTATTAAAACTCAAGGCTACTAATGGAGAATGTGCTAAGGAAACTCAGTTTGTGAAGGCCGCCTGCTTGCCCAAAGCACCGTTTGCAGATGGAACAGAATGCAGAATTTCTGGATGGGGAGCCACAGAGACGTGTATGTTTCCATATGTCTATTTCTGAATTTGTGTTGAACTATGAAAGGACTGAATCTGTTCTCTTTTCCTTCCTGTCTGTAGCAGAGTATGGCTCTGTGCATTTGCTTGATGCACAGGTTTTGCTGATTTCTCAGGAGGCTTGTTCCAGCAATAAAGTATATGCATCTTTGCTGGATGACGGCATGTTTTGCGCTGGCTATCTCAAGGGAGGAGTAGACTCCTGTCAGGTGGGTCATCATTTTAACTGTATAATGTTGTTTACTATAATTAAAAGGAAATGGCACTGCTGTAACAATGATAACATTAACATTCAACTCTCTTTGTGGCAGGGTGACTCTGGTGGGCCTTTAACCTGTGAGAGAAATGAAACACACTATATCTATGGTATAGTGAGCTGGGGAGACAATTGTGGGGAGAAGAACAAGCCTGGTGTCTATACCAGAGTCCTTAAATATTTGGATTGGATCAATGAAAAAATTAGTGTCCCACAGTAGCATGTCCATGAAATATTAGCCACGGTCACAGTGTTTTCTGTTGTGTACTTTGAGCTACCAGCAACGTTTGAGATAATTCTTCTGATGAATTAAAAAATCTTATGTCATCGTGTTATTCTTTTTTTCCAGTGTGTGACATTGGGATAAATACTTCATTTTATTTGAATTTTAAAATACACAAATATCTTCCAGTTACAGTTCTAGTTAGCTTTACACTAAAAGGTTCAAAAGTTTGGAGTACAAACTAACAAATCTAATCTACACAAAGGCAGAGTGAAATCAAACAACCCTGTGCTAGGAAGGCCTACTTTATCTTCTAAATTCTACAACATGCATTTAAGTATGAGGTATGAGTTATAAAGATGATTAGAATCGACAGATCCTAATAGGTTTTGAGTTTGTCCCCTGAAGATCATGACCTGGACAAAGAGCCAGGTGTAGAGAGTCTGTAAATGTCCCAGCACAGAAAGAGTAGAGCAGAGTCATGCTATCCACCCCTAAAAATGTCACCAGACCTCCAGGAAAACTGCAGAAGATCCCTATCCGATGGAAGCAGGTGGAAATGGGCAAAGGATGAGCAGTACCTCCATGCCAAGCATTGTAGTCTCCGTCAAAGTACTCCAAACACCAAGATTCAGCATGTCGGCCCAACCAGCAGTCCTCCTTTTGGCCTTTTCTTGAGATGGATGGGTAGGTGAGACCCAGTTCCCAGTAGATCTTTCCACTCACGTCTACCTCCCAGTAATGGAGACCAGAGTCCCAGCATTGGATGCTTAAGACGTTAAGGGTGGTGTCAAAGCGTCCCTCATGCTCAGGGACATCTTGCCATACATCTGTGAAAGTGGCACAGTCCCCTTCAGATGAAATAATCAGCTTGGGATGGGCAGTGGAAGGGTCCAGGACCACTTCTGAGGAATCTGCAAAATGAAGATGGGTTCAAAACTACCCTACCTGTTCACAGAGAATGCATTTTTCCATTCCACTGTGCCACTTTTCCATTGTTTTTCTACGTAAACACGCTAGACAGACATCTTTGATGTTGTGTCTCGCATCTTTTGCGGTGTCTTGTGCATGACAAGGTGTTCTACAAACAAGGCAGTCTAGTTTAATTATAAAAAAGTGTCTTGAGACTTTGCGTTATTTCCCTTATTGTACTTCCTATGGGTTGCGGTTTTTCAAAGCAAAAAAAAAAAAAAACACATTCTGTGTGAATGTCCCCTTATGGTTTATATATTTGAAAGAATATGGAACTCTATTGTAGTTTGTTTGTCAGTGAATTAAAAAAGTAACATTCATTTGCTGCAAATTGTTCATGCAAATGATCATCAATTTTATGTGCTGTTGACAGTTACTCACAGCTCTTCAGCAGCCTCTTAGCGATGGGGATCTGTGAGCGGATAAACAGTAGAAAATTGTTGATGAGGCCCAGTAGCTGATCTGATTTGGCCTCATCAAGTTTTATGAGACCTGGGTCTGTCGCTGTTAGCAATTCCAGCACCCTGCCAACAGAAAGTAGATCAGCACCACAGATAACACCTGTCCTCTATATAAAAGGTTGAGGGTTATATTGAGTTTAAAGTTAGTAACTAGAATTACTATTTGTTTGGCTACGCTACCATTTAAAATAATTCATACCATACATAAAATATTCATACCATTAAAAAAAAACCAAGTACAATTCTCCCCAAAATGCATTTATTTGATCAAAAATACCATAAAAACAATAATATTGTGTAATAATCTTTTGTAACATTATAAATGTCTTTACTGCCACGTTTGTAATTTAATGAATCCTCACTGAATTAAGAGTAAGGTCTAAAATTTAGATTAACACAGGGATACTGCATTGCAGATGTCTTAAGATTTAGACTAAGACTTAAGAAACTAGAATATTAACTGGAATCTACTAAATTTTGAGTGGTATCAGAATATTTTTGTGCATGTAAACTCAATGAGCCCATCCAACTATAGAATGAATGAAATAATTTAAGAATGTTTGTTCAAGTAACGAAACAGTGTTCATAACAGCACATTAAATAAACCTAAACATGAACTAGATGCTGGTAAACAGGATCTCTACAACCAAAATGCCTTTGCAGATGAGTCATTCAGATTTCATTGTGCCAGTGAAGGCTAGAATGTCTGACATAGTGACAAAACAATCTCTCTTAAGTGTGGTTCTAAATATACATACCTGTCCTCATACATTGTGACCTATGAGAGAGAGAGAGAAAGAGAGAGAGAGAGAGAGAGAGAGAGAGAGAGAGAGAGAGAGAGATATATATAGAGAGAGTGCATTCTGTGGCG